GAGGCTAACGAGCCCCAAAAAGGAGCATAAACTTGATGCGAAACACATTGCCGATAAATCCTGACAAAAGATTCAAGAAGACGGAGAGTGACGAGGAGAGTGATGAGAAGCGAGGAAGACGCTGAAGAAAAAGGATGTTCAAAGGGGTGATAGATGGGCAGAGGATTTATTTGCTTTCAGTGTTGCGGCATCATTTATCCCAGGTGAACAGAGCCTGGCTGCATGACAAAAATCAATCAAGAAGCCAATCGTCCATATGCTTCCACTGATGCACCCGGACAATCGATACTAGCCTGAGAGGAAAAAGCTGCAAAAAGGAAACATGTCTGCGGTAGTATATTTGTATGGCTCCCATAAATAAACCCCATTAACTTAATGGAAGACCTTTACTTTCCCACCTGTTTATTCAAAACCATTTACAAGCTCTTGAGTTGTGTGATTAAAACTGATAAATGGACTATTGATTCATTTCCTGTTTCAAAAAAAAAAAAAGTTGGTGATGTGCAGATTGCATTTTATTATGGCACTTGTGGAAAAGATGGAGTGCACATGGCAGATTTTACAGCTCAGATCAATACATCAGTGAAACTGTCAGGAAGCATCAGAGGTTTTGTGTGCCTGTGTGAGTGTGTGTGCGTGCGTGTGTGTGTAACGTTTTACAGTTTTTAGACTTCATTCAGGCCCCTTGCCCACCACACAGAGAGGGAAGCAACATGAAATCACATGAGATCAGCTGCTGCACATACAGTGACATGCGCGTGCTAAAAAAATGGCGGCTAGAGGGGTGGCCAACACTCTGACACCTTTGACGACACAAGTGGGAAGTCTAACTGACACCGGCCTCCTTCCCTGCGCTCAGAGCCATCCAGATAATAGCGGGGCACCCAATGTCACATGCACACGGAGGGTTGGCCACAGGCACACACACACACACACATCCGGTAAAGGTACGCTTACTCTCGGGCTGGATGATTTTGTAAACGAATGGTGATTTTGTTTTTCCTCCATGTGATCCTCTTCTCATTCGTTGTTTTTAAACAATGAATCGGTGAGATAGCTTTTTCTAATTTAAAATTGCTTAAATCCTCAAATTTTCAGCCTCTCATCAGTCAACACTCTCTGATTTGTGTTGTCCTCCATAAAAACAGACTGATTATTTTTGGGTTGAGCCAAAAATAAAGCATTTGGCAACTTTGGAATACTATAATCAACATCTTGGCCTCTTTTTTTTAGTTTTTTTTTTTTTTTTTTTTTGGTTGTACTTATGACCAGATGTCTAATTGCCATTGACACTCTCATAAATAGTAATACAGAAGACATATTTGGAAAGTAACATTCCGAACATGATGATGAGGGTAAACAACTTAATGTATGTGTTGTTAATGCATTTCAGCAGACAATCAACCGAAAGTTTAATCGGATGTAACCGTGAATCACCCTCTAAATATGATGGACCTTTTCATTTAATTTCTTGCAATCAGGTCCGAGAGATGTTCTCAAGCCGTAAACGCCCCCCCCCCGCCCCCACCCCCAAAGTCTAACTGGACTTCATTTCCCTCAGGGGCTGAACAAAAGGAGCGAAAGTAGAGCGAGTATGTGGACAAGAAGCAAAAGTTTGCAAAAGCCATTTAACAGTTTATCAATGTTGCTGATAAGTCGCGGGCGCGAAGAAAAAAAATGCAGAAAGTAAAAGTTCAATAATTGAAGCAAACACAGTAACCTAATTTGCACTTCAATTAGCCCGACATTATGAATGTACAGTGAAAATAGCAATGAGAAAGCCTGCACACATTCACTTCAATTAGCTGTGTAAATTGTTTTTACCGCTGACGTGACGTGCTATGATGATGTATCAACACCGCATACTGATGATGCGTTTTTCTCCACAGCCTAATTACACCACTGTGCACTCCCCCCCCCTTTTTTTTAACGTATCTAAGTTAGCGCTGATTAGATTTAATGCCCCCGCAAATGTCTTCAATTGAATTTATATCCAGTCAATTTGTCAGGAATCCACTAAAGCTTTGATGGAAAATCCAAAATGTATGCGAGCGGATCCCCACGAGTGGGACGTCCATTTACGATTCGAGCGGCGTAGCGTGACCGGAACCCGAGATGTGAAAAGTTAAAGTGAGGTGAGCGTAATTAAAACGACGCTGAGGCTTGTTCAGAGCGTTGTTCGTCAAGTTTGTTAGTGAGGCTTGACAGATCCCATCCTGTTAATTTGGTCTGGACACGCAAATTGGCTCCTGGCAGTTTTAGCAATTCACATGAGTCCGGGGCCATTTTTCAAAACCCCAATTACTCGGCTGCAGCGCATCGAGCGCGGGGCCTCTTTTTCACCCAACGCTGACATAATGAACTCATCGACTTCAACAAACTAATAATACTTTGCAACATATATGATGAATGTGTTGTTTACCTCTGAACTCATGTTTTTTTAATTGCAGATTTCTCCGACACTGAAATGTGCACGCAAGTGTTTCCTGGTTTCTTGTCAGTGTCAGTAGTAATTAAAGCGAGTCACGACAGTGCTGCTGGATTATAACTTGCACTGGGGGTTGCACTGATTGGCGTTGTGACAAAACTATCGAGTGAATAGGAAAAAAAATGCAGATTCCCCTCTTCTGGGAAGACTTTCTCCAAGATTTTGGAGCATGTGCGGGGGACCACTGTGTCCATTCATCCAGAAGAGGGCTGTTCTACACCATTCAAGCATGCCTTTTATGGACCTCGCACATTGGCGCAGTCATGCTGGAACACAAAAGGCCTTCTCTCCAAACTGTGGCCACAGAGTTGGAAGTGCACAATTGTCCAAATGGATTCACACGACAAGGTTCAAGTGACAATTCATACATGGGTCATGGCTGGCAAAGAGGGGGAAAATAACCGAATGGAAATGGATATCTTCTGATCAGAATCGGGCCTCTTCCGCTAAGAATCTTCTGCATGAATGCACGGATCAGATATACAGTCAACATGAGCCCGGTGTAATCCAAAAACCCCGATGGATCACGCAGAAATACGGTCAATGCATGAATCGAAAATGACAGCAATTGCACAGGCCATTAACTTTTTCAAAAAGAAAGAGGCCTGCTTTTGAGTCCATCCGGGAAATTGGAATTTTGGCACTTGAACGTTGCCTCGGGGTCTCCAATAACCCCTGATCGACAAATGACGCTTTCCCGGGTTTTTGATGGTATTGGTTTTAGGAGCATATGAACGGTACACCAATAAACAAAGAATATGCGTCCACTTTCTAATATACTTGCTGTTTTTCATTTGATGGTTTTGTATTTATGCCCAGATGGCATAATGGCATATAATCGTGTTAGGAAGGTCAATCGGCCGTAAATCGAGGACTCCCTACAATTAATTAAGACCCCAGCCATATTCCTCATATTGTGTGAGCTATGAATTATGTCTTTGGAGCTTCAAGCGAGGTCTTTGGTGGTGTAGTGCATGCGGTGTGTTTATTTTGAGCACGTTTATTTATAGCGTCACTCTGACTGAAGCGAATGCTCGTCAACAGATGAAAAAGGAACCAACGGCGCCATTGAACATTTGAGCGGTGGACGGCATGAAAAGCTTGTACAGATGGTATTGTAGCGGGTGATGGTTTTGATCCACTTCCTTACTAAACAGAGAAGTCCATCAGCAGCAGATACCCATTTAATTATGCAGGAGGTTGGTATGAAAAATAAATGGCTGTTTCCGGGAGCCAGGTGTGCTTCATTGTTCCTTTTGCTCACACTGAGCTCTTCAACCGGTTTCATCTCACAAACCACCGATTTGGATGATAGCCCATGTGACATTTCACCCAACCAAAGCACCACATACGGATATGTCAGAATGACATTTTCACGATGTTAAAGCAGCAGTTAGGGGATCTTCTCCAATTCATTTTCATGCTGCATATGCTGAGGAGCCAATCGGTGCAACAAACTGCTTTTTCTCGAATAATGGCCATCATATACGCTGTACTTACCGGACTAGACATGCGCGGAAAGACAGCCAACATTTAAGGATTAATCCACACAGTGTGTCTAGCAAGAGGGTGAGTCAATGAGCGAGTTAAATAGATGGGAGGATATGGTTCATTCTTAAATTATGCTCTTTCTCCTGAAATTCATGTGACAAAATACATGTTCCCAAACTAAAAGGACCCGTGTTAATGAATTTACTTGCAAAACACTTTCGTGTTATATAACAGGTGTAGAGTTAAAAGGTTACCGTATTTTCCGTACTATAAGGCGCACATAAGAGCATTCCAGTTTCTCAAAACCCTACGGTGCGGCTTAAATCCGATGCGCCTTATAGCTGGATGAATAATCAGATTTCTTGGACGTAGTATTTTAAATGTTCCCTTTAAGCGCTTTGTTACAGCTGCAGTGGTTGTGAAAGCTCAATATCAATCAAGCTGTATTGTATTGTATTCCGTTTAGCGTAGCTCCATCTAGCAGATGCATAACGCAACCCAGCCACACTATTGTAGCTTCTGTTCTATGCGCCTTATAATGCGGTGCACCCTACATATGAAAACCGTTTTAAAATAGGCCATTCATTGAAGGTGTGCCTTATACTCCAAAGTGCCTTATAGAGCGGAAAATACGGTAATTTCAACGTGGTCAATGACACCCCGGCTGCCTCGCCAGTAGGTTAAAGTAGGCAATCTGGTGCTGTAATAGCAATGACACAAGCCATAATGTCAAAGCTCGTGTTTTACGGTAAATTACTGCAGACTGGAGCATTAAAATTGCTGCCACTTGTACGATACAAACACAGCTCCATGATGCATAGTAGCCTCTGGTGCCTTCCAGTACATTTACGGGCCGTCCGCTGTGTGTTTGACGCCCATTTCCATCGACAGCGTGGATACATGATTGCAATTTTCTCAACAATGCAATCTAGTCAGCCAGCTCCCCTGTATGATTAAACTGGAAGAAAGCCAGTTGTCTTCAATGTTGGTTCACTTTGTTTTGAGAGCAGGAACTGGCTGACTTTTTTTTCCATTGTGTGGTTTTGGCCATAGGGCCTTACTTTGGCTTTCTCCGAATGGCTGCTTTGCTTTTTATAAAGGAATACAGCGGTACCTTGAAGGTCCGGTGCCACAACAACCTGGGGTCGGAACAAGATTTTGTTACTTGTCGTTTTTTTTTTTAACCGCAGTTTCATTTTTATTTTCGTTTGTTCCACTTGCCGTTATGATTTCTGTTAACTATAATAACCTTGGCAAACACGGTATGTGAATAAAATGAACTCGCCTTGGCAGTTTTTAACGTCCCCTCTTGTTGTTATATGTTTTTCGGCAGGTGGCGCGTCACGTTGGTCGTCGCCTCCCTGCGACTGCTGTTGCAAGAACCACAAGGGCGACAATGAGGGCGAGAGCGGCACCTCCTTCAACGAGCTCTCCACTTCCAGCTCAGAGAGCCAGTCCGAGGCCGGCTCTCCGCAGGGGACGGTCATCTGCGGCCCAGTCAGCCGCCAGCCGCACCCCCACGCTAACGTCCAAACTTTGGACAGGCCTCTAAAAAAGGGCCCGGTCGCCAGGCTCCAGCAGTCGGAACAACGGCGGAAAAGCGACCTGTTGCGTACGCTCACCTCTGGCTCCCGCGACTCCAACACGTGCAAGAAGAGGCCGCCCAAAGAGAAGCTGACGGTGGAGGAAGAGCTAGATAGGTGCATTCAGGACTTTCGCAAGATCAAGATTCCCGAGAGGTTTCCCGAGCGGAAGTACATGTGGCAGGCGGACTTGTTGAGAAAGTACCGCCTCTGAGCACGCAGTAAACCGACTGCTGAGGCCAAGGATCTGTTTACACCTTTTGTCCAGCGAGACTTTGGCGACAAAGATAATTCAACTCAATCATTCACCATTATGCCAGTTGGTTGAACAGCGACAAACTGAAGCTCGAAAGAAGCATTAAAAAAAACAAAAAAACAGACTGTTCTCTTATTGACGTAACGTATGTAGTATGTGTGTGCGTTTAGTTCCTCGCTCACTCTGAGTATGTACTGTTACCTCGCTCAAATGATTCACCGCTTTGAATAAGAGCAAACCAAAGCGAGCCGGAAGACAGAAGAACCCGGAAGTGGATCGGTAATGGCGACACGGAGGGGTGATGGTGGGTACTGAGAAGCACAAACTCATCATTTCCCTCACAAAAACAGAACGTTACTTTGAAATCACTGAAAATATCCATGTGAAAAGGCACTTGGAGGCAGGACAGCACAATTTGTTTCAGAGTTGGCATAGGTGTTCCATATTTTTGTCCTTCTCGCAACCCTACACAAATAGCTAAAATATGTGCGCAATTGACACCCCTCCCCTTTCATGAAATTGCCCGTATTAATTGTTTAAACTACATAAATACACCTACAATCCCCATTCACACCTTTATCCTTGAAAATAAATGGCTTACCGTCAAGACATTTATGTGGGGTCCTCGGTTTACACGCTGTAGCCTGTCACCAATTTATGCTAGCTCGGTAGCACAGTCATAATTACAACAAATATTCATAAAAAACATGCGTAGTCCATGAATATGAAACATGTAGATGGATAACAGTCAATATGGTGAAAAGTGACCATGCCTTTTTGTGCCGTGTCACCATGTATTCTTACGGTATGCTAACGAGATCATCGGGCGCCCTTCGTACATTTATAGCTTTGGTCTGTTGTAAATCGAGGACCCCCCGTCTGTGTGATCACATTTAGTTAGAACCCGAGGTCACTGCTATCTACGTCCGGGCCTGATAAAACTCTCTTGATAGTGCTTTCAGTCGAGTGGTGCTGCTCGGGTACCACACAAACTGTCTTGTTTTTTTTTTTTGCGCACTTCAGAGGCGGGAAATTTTACGATTTCATCAGCGACCCAAATTAATTTTCCTGTTCTAATATGAGTTCTATTGCAAAGGCGCCCACCCCCCACTCCACGAGTGAATCGCGGCGCTGTGAATTGCTTTGGCTCCTGCAGAGCAATTTCCGAGATGGGCAATAAAGCGAAGGTTTTGATGGTCAAATCATAGAGAAATACACGGGCGCAATAAAAGTCCTGATGGAGCGCCACATCCACCCACGCAAATGTTTCCTTCTGTTCTACTCATGTTCATGACTAGTTACATTCTATTCCCCCCCCCCCACACCCCCATTAAAAAAATGTCAGGCACTGAATATTCATAAGGTTAGCAAAACACACGCAGGTGCAGTTGTTAAACAAGCACATAGCGCGAAAAGGACATTTACTTATTTCCCCAGATGGTTATACAGTTCTTTCCAGACTGTTGACAAGCCGATCAATAGTTATTGACGAAGGTCTGCGGTGACAGCGCCGATATGTGGTTCTTGTTTACAGTTATTAATGAGACCTGACAAAAACACTTGACAGAACAAGCATTCCACGTGTTTTCCAATACCTTGACCAAATTAATTCACTTTTTTTTCCCCCCTTGGTGCCCATGCCGGACTGGAATGCTGAAATTGAAAAATGGAAATAAAAGTGCCTGTTCAGTTTGCTTATGGAGCTGAGAGGTGAAATGTCTTGAGGCGCCATCATTAGGTTCACTTTTGAATAATACACATTCATAAAAGAATGAAAGAATTCGAATTTGTTTGCTCGAGTGGCAATCTAAACATCTAACTGAACTCCATTTTTTTCGACGATGTGTTAAAAAAAAAACAATTGGGAGAATGCATTCAGAGGAGCAGATAACATTTATATTTAATTGTTGTTTTCAGAGCTTAATACAAAAGAAATGAAAAGTACAATCAAAGCTTGTTGTAAATTGCAAGTTGTGATTTAAAGCACAAACGTAAGACTTCATATTTTATTTCTAAAAAGAAAAAAAAAATGCCCATACGATATTATGAGTAGTTTGAATCGTGTATAATATTTTTTTTTCAACCTAAATAAGACCCATTATGTTGTCCATTTCCCCAATTGTTTTGTGCATAAATTTACACAAATTCAACAAGGATTATTTTTTTACCTTTCATCAAGAAAGCAGTGTATCATATGTAAATAAAACCCATAAATCTACACATATTAAGTATTACACTCCTTGTACATAACATCCAAATCAACTGGATTTCTTTTCGCCATTACTGTGCTACCACCGTTTAAGTTTTTGTGGTGCTCGATCAAGAATGAAAGGAAAGCATCAAATTCACACCTATTAACCCATCACGTATACATTTTATTTCCATCTGGATGAATTATGACCCAATTCTAATACTGCTACTGTCAGACTGGAAGCATCGACACAAATGCTGAATGGATAAAAATTAATGTTCTCTTCAAGGGACTGATAAAAAAATAAATAAATTAAAAAAAAAAGGATTTGATAGTATTGCCGTGCACATCGTCTGGGGGAGTGGATGCATCATATCATCGCTTTCCTTTTTTCACCCACATTTATGGGATTCCTGCTACAGAAACGGATCAATCATTCATGAAACTGTCCCCGAATAACAAATTTTCATGGCGAGAGGCCTTCGGCTCCCAAAATGGAAATCGGATAGCATCCATAGAGGAAGGAAAAAAATGGAGAAAGAAAAAAACATCCAACGCAAAAATGTGGCATGAAATCTTTAAAAAAAACATACCGAGAGGTGTTACTGAAGGATGGACATGATCATAAAATGAACTCATTTATTCAGGAAGCTTCATGAACCAATTTAATCCGTTTCCCTTATGAGGCGGATGCACAGACCCGTGCTACGAAGTTTTTTTAATCTCAGCAAATTTCACTCACGAATCAATAAATAATGTACTTACAAATAAATGTAAATCATGATTCAACTAAAGAAAAAAATATTTTACATAGAAAAAGAAATATTGTTGGACAAATTATGAATTTTAAAAAACAGTACAAACAAAAATTCATTCACATATATATTTTTTTAAACGTGCAAATTTATCAATTACTAGATCATACGGAAATTTTCCTTTTCGTTCAGCAGACGAATGGAGTAAAAAGCCTAAAATTCTATCCCTGGATTATTTTAGTGGCCAGGCCTAAATGTTGACAGCACATAGATTTTATAATCCAGTTGAGATGGAACGACAAAAGGCCATTGACTCCGCATGTTGCCTTCAGTGCAGTGCATTAAACAAGTGCAACCCTCATTTCATGTAGATTTTGTTATTTGTAGCATAGACATACTCTGCGGAAGCCGGCACAAACAAAAAGTCATTTTACAGGTATTAGGTTGCGTTGTAATGGAGGTGAAAGAAAGGCCATTTGTGGCTCCGGGGGGGGAAGCTGCACAATCTATGACAAATGGCTTCCAATGACACGAAGGAACCATCCAATGTGGGCGTCATCAACAAATCGCAGTGTGTGCCTTTTGGGACCTGCGACCCTTCTTATTGACTCAAGGCCCTTTAGTGCTCTTTAATTGAGTTGAAGGCCAACCGAAGAATCCCAATTCCACAACTTGAAGCCGGGAGTCACGATGAAATTCGGAAAAAAAACGTAATGGATCCTGTCTGAGCCGTTGAGAGAAAATCCAGTTTTATTAACAGTGTACACACACACACACACACACACACACACACACACACACACACTTATAGTTTCATATAAAAAATTACACCTTCCTGACCGCATCAGCCAAATTGAGTTATTAATGTTTAAAATGAGTTCGTAAATATGGCCATTTTGTCTCGGGTGGCGTCTGAGAATCAACATTTCAGTATTGATCAGCCCAACGTTGCTTATTAGCAATTACACATATTGACGTAAGCACTTCCCACGGGGTTTTGAAGCTATTGATGGTTTTCCGATACCGAAGGAAAGCACGACTTGACTTCTCTTTCTTAAGACTTTGACCACAATTAGCCATCGGTGACAGCAGTTTGTTCTGCATGACACCATTGTACTAGACAATTATCTATTTGTGGCTTATTAGTTCAATAAAAATCATCCCACATTCAGTTGTTGTTACAATTCAAACATGATGGGGGAGATTTTCAATCAATTTTCACATATGCATTTCTGATAGGTGTGTAATTTTTTTTTTTGTGTGTGTGTGCTGTTTTGGTTTCAAACGTTCGCCTCGGAATGATCTGACAAGTCTGAACTATATTTTTAAAGTCCAAAATACAGCAGAGTGACACCCGGAGGCCTTGTAGACACGACTACAGATCTTTTTGCACAGTCCTATAAAAAGAACATCGGAATTGACTAAAAAGGACATCATCGTCTTCATCGTTTTGCATCGAGCCACGAGTGATATGTCTTCCATGTGACCATCACACTCTCTGTTGACGAAGAATTTTCTTGACTCGAACCCTGCTCTGGAGACCTTTTGGGACTAGAACCTGCAACATTCTCGTACGAAGCCAAGTGTGATGTATGAAAAGGTGTTTGTGAGTTTGTTGTTTTTGTTTTTTTTTTGTAAACTGGAAGTTTTGCCAGGCTGCACACAGGGCCGCGATTCCGGTTCTCTCCTGCCTTTGACTCTTCTGTAAAGTATAAGAGAAAAATCACATACTGTTTGAAAGTCAAGGGTGTAACGTTGTGCCGTATGTTTGTTCTGATCCACACACAAACACAGAGAAAAAAAATGCTTCTGAATTGTTGTGAGCATGTTGGTATTCAAAACTCTATGACAGATTAGTCTGTTGTTGTGAAGAATCTTTTTTTTTTTCGGTCAAAACTGCTATTAACATGACAAAAAAAGAAAAAAAAAGAGAAGAAAAGCACAAATATGTTGATCGTGTCTAATGTTCCTCTACAGATGTATACAATTATCCAATAAAATTCCAACTCTGGAATGGATTGATTGCGATGTTCTTTTATCACAAGCTAAAATGAAACTGAACTACACTACTGTGCTAAATTTGTAAAAATGAAACAATGTGATTGGAAAAAAAAATGTATTTATTGTTTTGAGTCCCTAAATGTACCTCACGATTTGAACGTGAATGTTGGTGATGTCCCCATCTGCCTTTAAAGACACTACAGAGTATATATTAGTCACTTCAAAGTACATCTAATAAACAAAGACAGCCTGTACTTTGACCAAAGAGTTGCATTTATTCTCAATAACTATTGGATGAATGTCACATTATAAAAATTGAACGACCAATTTTTGATTAGACCACGTTGCACGGCTACAGCCTGCCTAGTTTACCACAGACAGAAAGTCAGCTGAGAAAGAGACCACCGGTGGTGGGTGGAGAATCTTTTCCAATTGCAATACTACTTGCAAAGAGTCTTCACTCACACGCGTGGGGGGGCTGCGTGCAGTGGAACAAGTGGAGCCGATGAACAAAAGAAGCGGCACGAAAAGACAGGAGGCGAGAAGAGATCGACACATTAAGCGATAGCTGCAATTGAAGACAAAAGTCGCACCATCTCCCACACTAGTAGTGTCTTGAGAGTGTCGTTTGAAATAGATGTTCTAAAATGGTTATTTATACATAATATAAAGTAGACTGACAAGTAATTCATACAGTGGAATCTCAGTTTACCATCTGATCTTTTGTCTCAAGTCACTTTTCGTGAACCAAAGCAAGCCGTTCCCTTAAAATGAATAGAAATAGAATTAATTGGTTCCAGCCCCACAACCAAGTCAGTCAAGCAACCAGACCCGTGCCAAATAAGCCTTACCAGGGCTTCATAAACCCCCCCCCCCCAAAAAAAAAGTCACTTGTTACTATCTTGGAAGCCATATGGTGGGCTAATTTGGAGCAAGAAAATATATAGACCTGATATATTTGTCACACGGAACAAATTATATTTATGCTGTGTGTCAGAGAACCCAACTGAGTGTTCTATATAGATATTTGACCGTAAACCAATTTGTTGGTGGCGAATTGATCTTGTTCAACTGTCTATCAAATGAGGCGCTGGCTCAAATGCCACCTGATGGTCTTTATGCCGTGTCACTGTGTGAAAACGCAGTCGTGGTGACATCCCGCGTTGCTGTATTTAAGGTGAAAATGCAGTATCTTGTGTGATGGTTCATGACTGCAGTGTCAGAGATGCTACAGAACACTTAACAATGTCTCGGGTTGTGAATGACACCTTTGTGGAGGACATCGTGATTTAAGGCTTAATTGATTCCGACAAAAAATAACGACGCTTCCACCTTCACAAAGACAATTGATTCATCTAGTTAGCGGCAAACATATGGAAGGAAATCTGCCGTTTCTGTTCCGCCCGCTTGTTCGCGGATGATACACTCAATTACACCAATTTCAAAGTCCCAATGAGTGAACGTGAGGGAAGAATAAATGTTTCATGTCACAGCGTGGGCGGGTGGCTCACTTACTGTGCGACAAAGACAGAAAGAAAAAGGAGTGACATAAAAATAGCTTCAGAGGGATTAGCCATCATCAACATGAGGTGACCCAGACTGCTTTGCGAGCCGGTGATGAAAACACGGATAAAAACAAGGAACGTGGGAAGGAAACGTTTGGACAGGAGTGTGAAGGAGAGGTGCGAGTATTGAACGGGGGGTAGGAGGTGAGAAAATTGATGGGTGGAATAAGTGAAGGAATGTTTGAAGACAAAGCCTGTGAATGACAAAAATGAGTAAAGAGAGACATATACTCATCATTCAAAATTACAACTATAAGGGGGTTCAGAACAAGGCCAGTACAGTCAATCCTAACTTAAAAAAAAAAAACAACAACAAAAAAACCCCACAATATTCAT